CATTTTCACTAATCTCTTTCCTACAGAGAATACATACCTGAAATGTGGATTCTGAGAAGCAGACTGGTCATCTTCTTAATAGAAAGGTAACTTATCTTAGTAGTAGTATCAGACTATCCTTTTAATTAACCTTTTATCCTTTGATTGAAATGGTTTTTTGTGTTTTAAATGTTTCTCTGTCAGACTAACATTGAGAAAAGGGATGTTCAAGCACCTCAGAGACAGAGGAATTCAGGTGTGTGGCCATGCTATATCATGTTTTTTTGTGTTATTAAAGGAATAGTTCACCCAAAAATTAAATTTGCTGAAAATTTACTCACCCTCAGGTCATCCAAAATTACTTTTTATTTTTCATCCGAACAAAATTGGAGAAATCAGCAGTACATCACTTACTCACCAATGGATCGTCTGCAGTGAATGGGTGCCGTCAGAATGAGCGTCCAAATAGCTGATAAAAACATCACAATAATCCACAAGCAATCCACACGACTCCAGTCCATCAATTAACATCTTGGGAACCAAAAAGCTGTGGGTTTGTAAGAAACAAATCCATCATTTAGACGTTTTTAACTTCAAGACGTTGCTTCTAGCTAAACTTTGAGTCTTCCATATCCATAATCTATCCATAATATTGCTTTCTCCAGTGAAAAACTCATCTGTTCTAAATCAGGAGAGAAATAAACACAGATCAAGCACCGTTTACAAAAAACTAAACAAATATGTTAGTGGATTTTGATGTGAGAGGACAACAGGGGATGGATATTTTCACTGGAGGAAACATTGTTATGGACTATGGACTTGTATTTTGGCCAGAGACTAAGTAAACACCTTATTGATGGATTTGTTTCTTATAAACACGCAACTTTTCAATTCACAAAACTTTAAATGATGGACTGGAATCGTGTGGATTATTGTGATGTTTTTATCAGCTGTTTGGACTCTGACGGCACCCATTCACTGCAGAGGATTCATTGGTGAGGAAGTGATGTAATGCTAAATTTCTCCAAATCTGTTCCGATGAACAAACAAACTACATCTACATCTTGGATGGCCTGAGAGTGAGTAAATGTTCAACATATTTTCATTTTTGAGTGAACTTCCTTTACGAAACAGCATATTGAGTAACTTGAATTTTCAGTGAGAAACTGGTCTCAGGTTGTGTGTGTACATACATGCTTCAAAATCATGAAAAAGAAATGTTCTTCCTCTCTCTCTTTAGATTCCGAGAACTCCGGTCTGACGCACGCGGGTTCTCGCGTTATTTCCTTATCCCTTCTCGCGTGTGTTTTGTTGTGAAACATAGAGCGGTCGGCGATTCTTCCTATTGTGAAGTCATGCAGTGTGAAACCCCCTGTCGCCGATCCATCGTGCAATGTGAACACAGCAGCAACTGAATGCTACCCCAGATAGTCAGGCAGTGTGAAAACAACGGCGATCCGACGAGTTTGAAAATCATGCAGTGTGAACTCGGCATAACCCTAACTGTTCTTGCCGCATTCATGAAAGTAGCGATGTCCGAAATGTCTATTTTCCTTTTTAGTGCTGTTGAAGTGGGCACAGAGATGCTGGAGATTGACTGTCACTTGACTAAAGATGGTCACGTGGTTGTGTCACATGATGAGAACCTCCTGCGGCAGACTGGGCAAGATGTCAACATTTCCTCCTTAAACCTGGAGGTCAGGGGTCAAGGTTAACTTTTTCTCCTGATACACTGTGCAGCTCTGCCTGCTCTATTACCAACAATTCTCAATTCGCACTTTCCATGTGGACCTACACAAAACTTTGGGGTCAGATTTATTTATTTTAAATAATACTTTTATTCAGCGAGAATGCATTACAAAAGTTTTCTATTTCACATAAATGTTGTTCTTTTGAACTTACTATTCATTAAAGAAAACAATGAATCATGGTTTTCACAAAAAAATGTTTCTTGAGCAGCAAGTCAGCATATTAGAGTGATTTCTGAAGAATCATGTGACACTGAAGACTGGAGTAATGATGCTGAAAATACAGCTTTGCCATCACAGGAATACATTACATTTTAAAATATAATCAAATAAAACAGTTATTTAAAATAGTAATAACATCTAACAATATTATTGTTTCACAGTATTTTGGTCAAATAAATGCAGCCTTGCTGAACATAAGAGACTTCTTTCAAAAACATTTAAAAATCTTACAGACCAAAAACTTTTGAATGCTAATGTTTATAAACTACAGGTTTTGGTTAATAATGTTTTTTTTTTCAGGAGTTGCCACCTTATAGAGAAATACTTGAGGTGACGTTTAAGACAGGTGTGTGGTTTTACCAGTAAAATTGCAAACACATATTAACCTCTTTATTAATGCATAATGATTATACATGTTTTAATTCTCTTTGCAGGCCACTTCAGCACTGGGTCAGATAGAAACATTGCATTATTAGAGGATGTTTTCCACAAATTTCCACACATAGCTGTAAACATTGAAGTGAAAGAAAATAACAGCATGCTGATTGAGAAGGCAAGAGAGCAATCATCATACCCAATGATGAAACCATATTTACCTACATCAATTTACTAAGCCTCCCTCTTTGTTCTTTTATCCTCAATAATGTTGATATGATTTTATGCACTATCTTTTTCAGATTTCTGATCTTGTGAAGAAATACAACAGAGAGGCCATGTCAGTTTGGGCCTCTGTTGACTCCACCATCATGGAAAATTGTCGCAAAACAGTGCGTGTGCATTTATGTCCCACTCTACCTGTTTTGTTTCAATAATAAATCACCCACATACTTTCCTCTTTCTTACATCTTTAGTTCTGTCTCCTTTGTTGTCAATGGCAGAACTCCTCCATGCCCTACATGTTCACTGTAAAGCGGGCTTTAAAGCTGCTCCTGCTCTACTACACTGGTCTTCTGCCATTCGTTCCCCTCGGAGAGAGTTTCCTGCAGTTCTACTTGCCACAAATCATTAACAGGTCTGTATACACCAAATATTTCCATACTATGTTCTGTGCATGGTAATCACACAGATGCATTTTCACTAATCTCTTTCCTACAGAGAATACATACCTGAAATGTGGATTCTGAGAAGCAGACTGGTCATCTTCTTAATAGAAAGGTAACTTATCTTAGTAGTAGTATCAGACTATCCTTTTAATTAACCTTTTATCCTTTGATTGAAATGGTTTTTTGTGTTTTAAATGTTTCTCTGTCAGACTAACATTGAGAAAAGGGATGTTCAAGCACCTCAGAGACAGAGGAATTCAGGTGTGTGGCCATGCTATATCATGTTTTTTTGTGTTATTAAAGGAATAGTTCACCCAAAAATTAAATTTGCTGAAAATTTACTCACCCTCAGGTCATCCAAAATTACTTTTTATTTTTCATCCGAACAAAATTGGAGAAATCAGCAGTACATCACTTACTCACCAATGGATCGTCTGCAGTGAATGGGTGCCGTCAGAATGAGCGTCCAAATAGCTGATAAAAACATCACAATAATCCACAAGCAATCCACACGACTCCAGTCCATCAATTAACATCTTGTGAACCAAAAAGCTGTGGGTTTGTAAGAAACAAATCCATCATTTAGACGTTTTTAACTTCAAGACGTTGCTTCTAGCTAAACTTTGAGTCTTCCATATCCATAATCTATCCATAATATTGCTTTCTCCAGTGAAAAACTCATCTGTTCTAAATCAGGAGAGAAATAAACACAGATCAAGCACCGTTTACAAAAAACTAAACAAATATGTTAGTGGATTTTGATGTGAGAGGACAACAGGGGATGGATATTTTCACTGGAGGAAACATTGTTATGGACTATGGACTTGTATTTTGGCCAGAGACTAAGTAAACACCTTATTGATGGATTTGTTTCTTATAAACACGCAACTTTTCAATTCACAAAACTTTAAATGATGGACTGGAATCGTGTGGATTATTGTGATGTTTTTATCAGCTGTTTGGACTCTGACGGCACCCATTCACTGCAGAGGATTCATTGGTGAGGAAGTGATGTAATGCTAAATTTCTCCAAATCTGTTCCGATGAACAAACAAACTACATCTACATCTTGGATGGCCTGAGAGTGAGTAAATGTTCAACATATTTTCATTTTTGAGTGAACTTCCTTTACGAAACAGCATATTGAGTAACTTGAATTTTCAGTGAGAAACTGGTCTCAGGTTGTGTGTGTACATACATGCTTCAAAATCATGAAAAAGAAATGTTCTTCCTCTCTCTCTTTAGATTCATCTCTTTGTGTGTAATGAGGAACAGGATATTGAGGCTGCGTTTGCTGCAGGAGCAACAGGAGTCATGACTGATTATCCCACACTGTTATCAAACGATATTAGAAGACGCACACAAGACACGTGATCAAACACAAATACACAATGTGCTTCACTCTTGTCTAGTCAAACACACACAGACTGTACAAATGCTGTTTGCCTTTAAACATACAGCCAAGTTTATATCAATGCCATTATTAGCTTATCAGCACTGGCAGTATTTACATGAAACGGTTTATGGCATTCTTCATGGGACATTTCATAAGTATGAAAACACATAAAAAATAAATGGAACTCATATATTCTAAGTGGACTGCTTTCTTCGCTCGCTACATTATTATCCCACCATGTTTATTGTTTATTGTGGTTTTCAGTCAGTCGGTGTCAGTTTAGCGCCTCCCTACCTATGTTTGCAAACAAACACTATCCAACTTCTTTGAGAGGCCGTGCAAAGTCCATCAGCTGTACCCAACAGGGGATCAAAGCCTGAATTGCCCTGTCCTTTTGAAAATCTTCTTTAGATAGAAAAATACATGATCTTTCAGTTAAATATTTAATGCCGTACAGAACTACGGCGGCTTTCATTATATAGTTAATTATTTTAAAATCGTCTGCATGACTTAATTGTCATGCAAACAACCAGAAGACACAAAACATCAACGTCACTTCTAAAGAAGCGATAAGACGAAGATAACCAGAACGAGAGGGTTTTTTTTTTGCTCGCTGAAACGTTTTAACGCAACTGTAAAGTTCAGGTGACTTCAAACCATAGACTGTCAAACGCACGGGAAGAGCGCCTCTGATTGGCTGACCTATATTCCAGACGTCTCTGTCTGGATTCTGATTGGTCAGTTACTGTTTGTTTTGCGCCACATGACGTATAAGAAACTTCCTCAGAAAATACAGTAAACAAATCTACGGATTATATTCGGTCGCGACATATTGAGCACGGCGGCTTGCGTGAATTTAGGAATGTGTGATGCTTTCGGTTGACATCACACGGTTTGCGCATTAGAGCAGGTCGACGGGAGGGACACAAAGGAGGGAACTGTAGAAAAAGCGCAGAAGCTTGCCGCTCGTTCGTTTGGTTGAGTGCGCTTGATTAGTGAATGCTCAGGCTTCATGCCGTTGAGTTGAGCACGCTTCTCTTCTGGCGACAATATTGCGACCAGCGTTTGTCTTGAAGAAATCGTTCATATTTAGGTGAGACCAGTTTCATTATTAGCATGTCAAATGGGGCGAGGAGGCTAGAAGCAGTTCTAATGAGAAACGGCTCTACTCTTGGCTTTAGAGCTTGTACACTATGGTGCAATTGTTACTTGTATATGTAGAGGGTGTTAAGTCGAAACGTTCATTTAGGCGACTGGCATATACGTGCAAATAGCCGCGTTCGTCAGTGCAATATTCTAGTCGTGAAGGGGGAAATGAACAAATTCCGCGAATCGGTTCTTTCGAACAGTTCATTTCAAAAACGATTCGGCGGTAAATTTGAGCTGTGACGTTATTGCACTGGTTCCTGACAACCTGACATTTCGTTTGTAATTTATTTATTCATGTATTTGGCCTACATAAACTATAAAAAAGTAAATATAAAAAAAGGTAATTCAAAAACCTAAGTATAATTTAATTTTACATTTAAATAATACTAAAAGTAATTTGCATATCTTGGCCGAAAAAGTTTGTCTGAAAGTTCTTTGATAAAATTAACATAGTGAAATAAACTAGATAAATAAAATTTGATTTACTATTCTGCTAATTGTGTATTTTAATTTTGCCCCATCAGTCAAACCCTGTTCATCTGAATCGTTGAAAGCACCCGACTCATATGAACGATTCGTTCACGATTTTCCAGCTGCATTGTGGGCCGTGCTGGAACGTTGTAGTCCATAAGAACAAAAACTAGAATCGTGAGTGTGTCTGCGGAAATTTAGTAGGTTAACTTTTCAAATATTTTATAACCCAGTAATATATCTAAAGCTGTATTTATTACAGCATGCCATAGTTATTAATACCTTTCACCACTGTTTACCCTCGTGCCTGGCATGCCATATATGGGGTAACTACAGTGTGGGCAGCCAAGCAAAGTAGGTCATGTGGATGTTTCCTTTTTTCCTGCTATATATCTGAAACGGGGTGCAAAATTTGCAGCAATATTAAAATGCTTTTCAAATACACCATTTAAAAGATTGCTGTAAATGTCACGTCCATCATGCATAAAATCTCAAAGCATTTAGTCTGCTTTGAAAATCACAATGTTATTGGCTGATGATGTCAATGCCATGTTTTCTAACTACGCATTTGGCAATCCCGCCAGAAGCTGTTTTGGCTGTCAAAGCTGCTTTGTAGCAATTTGTTATCCTTGCAGATATGATCTTGACACTGTTTTTGTGTGTCTTCAAAGACATGGTGAAGCAGACCAAGGCCAAAACTTTCCAGGCCTATCTGGACTCCTGTCACCGCCGCTACAGCTGCGTCCACTGCCGTGCACACCTGGCCAACCATGATGACCTAATTTCTAAGGTGAGAGTTATATTTATGAATTGTGATGCTGTTTGCATTAAAGACTCACGTGTCTTGTCTATTTTCAGTCGTTTCAAGGCAGTCAGGGCCGTGCCTACCTGTTCAATTCTGTGTGAGTATCACTTCTAGTAAAAAATCTCAGAGCTTGAATCACATTGTGATGGAAGAAATAGTTGGTTTAACTGTCATTTTGTGATTTCAGGGTGAATGTGGGTTGTGGCCCAGCAGAAGAAAGGCTGCTGCTGACCGGTCTTCATGCTGTGGCTGATATTTACTGCGAGAATTGCCACACCACACTGGGCTGGAAATATGTAAGCATGCTTTGTTTTAATAAAAAATGTAGTAGGACACACTACATTTGGCTTTATTTATTTCATTAACATGCAGTCTGATAACAATTTTTTCCCCCTCTTTCTCCTTTCCTCTACAGGAGCAGGCATTTGAGTTAAGTCAGAAGTATAAGGAGGGGAAGTTTATTATTGAATTATCTCACATGATTAAGGATAATGGCTGGAACTGAAGCCTTTAGCCTTTGCTTTAACTTTCTGTCCGCTTGCAGCTTCTCCAAGAACGTCATGAGATATGCTTTCTTTTATATATATATATATCCATCTATGATCTACATTTACTATTGTGAGCACCTTTTCCCACACTTGTATCCCAATACACCAGTTTTTCAGAGGGGTGGGGGGAGTCTTGAGTGATTGGTTTGTGTGTGTTTGTGTCTTTTATATGTAATTGGAGGTGTGCTTGTGTGTAAGGCATACTTGAAAGAAACCGCTAAAATTATCAACCACTTAAATCCAGTTTCAAAGAATTCTTGATTTTGACAGAAGCCCTCAAATTCTCCAAATTAAGTGCAATTCATGAGGTTTGGACAAAGTATAATCAATGTGCCAAGATCCAATACCTTTTTATTCAATTAATTTTTACTTTTAAAAAACGAGGTATTTGTGAACGAGGTAGTGCGTGTGAAATTACTTTACTGTTTGTGTGTGTGGGGCTTAGAGTGGATCATGTGCAATATGCGTGTATGTGAGAGAGTTTGCTTAAAGGATGATTCATGCCTCCAAATTCAGTCATTTTGGTTGAATTCATCTTTTACTTTACCAAGTCACTGAGGAATCCCATCAGATGAACATCTGCTCATAAGTGTGTGTGTGTGTGTGTGTGTGTGTGTGTGTGTGTGTGAGAGCAAACAGCAGGCTTGTTGCTGTAGAGTAGATGTCCACAGTTGACTGACATTCTTAAGACACTTCAATTACAGCTTATAAGATGTAATTGGGATATTAATTTTTTTATGTTTGTTGTTTCTTGCATTATGTCTATGAGAAATGTTCTTAGTCTAACATTGAGCAGCATGTACAGAGACATCGATCTGATCATGTTAGAGCAGACATGCCATGTAAATGTGTTTTGATTGTGTAGCAAAGTATTTCTTTGAATGCTAAACCATTAAAGTGTATTACATTAACCTGAATTCTTTACATTAAAGTACGGGGTAAATGAAAACTACTGTTTTTTTGTTTTTTTATATATCTTTGAAATTTGGTTAGGAAGTTCTGTACTTTTTAATATTATGTTAAAAATGATACATTATAAACAAAGTACACGGTACAATACTAAACAAGAATAAACAAGGAACATTTACATATTTCATTATATATATATATATATATATATATATGTTAATTTTAGATAACAAATTTAGTATTTTTAGAATCGTTCAAGAGCGCGAATAAATCTTAAATAAATTAACGGCGCTTTTCACGAGTGCAAAGGGCATAACTCCGAAATGATTAATCATTAATGGTTATATAATGCTCTACAGACGACGTTGTTTATAAATAAACTAGGCGGAAACAAGAAACAGCTTTTCTGCCCTAATTATCAGAACCACCTCGAGTGAACGCTATAATAAAGACAACAACTCCCACAACTCTTTGCGCACATCGGTGACGTGGCCAGCGTTAACCAACAGACCGGGGAGATTTGAACTTCATTTGGGATGTAACTAATTTTCTGTTTCATTTCATTGGTTTCAAACTATTTTACCTGTGGATTTTACTTCGTAGGTAATAAAACATAAGCTGCTTTATTACAGCCCGTAATTTTACATCACGATGTCCGGGAAAATCAAAAGCAAGAGTGCTGCAAATGCCGACTCAATATCTGGCAGTGTGTCCTGCGGCGAGCGCATCTTACGGGACTGCCACCAGATGTACATCGATCCGGATAGCGGTAAGAAACAGCTCCCTTTAGAAAGGATTAAGTTACATTCTCATTGATTTACTTGGTTTAGTAAGGCATTAGATTTGTCTCTAGGCGTGGTTAGGAGGTGCTAACGGTAGCCGGTGAGCTAAAATGCCGGTTGGTATGTGAAGTAAGTTTCACTTCAGAGTGCGAAAAGCATTTCACTTGTTTGCTTTCATAACTGTGCAATCATTAGATTTACCGTTTAATCTGTTACTGTGTACTCCAAGTGATACGAAATAAAAGTATGTATAAAAAAAAAGTTATTTTTAGTGCATCACGTTTAAATTGTATAAAGATTTCTTCTGCCGTGATTGTCACTCAGTGGGTGACGTTAAAGGATCGTTCACACAAAAATGATGTTCTGTCACTGAACCGGAAACCTACTCACCCTCTGACACTTTCTTTCCAGTCTAGTTTGTCTAACGACTCTTTCCTTTGTCCTGTAGGACTAATAACAATCGCTCAGACTGTTGGGGTGACCTTGCTGCCTCCCCGGAAAAAGATAACTGTGATGTTAATGGGGAACCACTCAGCTGGAAAGAGCAGCTTTATCAATTGGTATGCTAATATACAGGCATGAAAACGGACACTACAAGCATGCACTCAGATTGCTGTTTGTGCTAGACTGAGAATGTGAGAACAGTTGGAGTTCAAACAGTAACCCATGCGTTTATTGCTTTGCAGGTATGTGGAGGAGCATATCCAAAGAACAGGGGTCGCTATAGAGACACAGGGCTTCAGCTTTGTTACAAGTGGGCGAAAGAGGGAATCGCTCACGGTAAATATGACCCCATGCATGTCACATTAAAGTTTTGTGTGACATAGTTTGGGTATGAAATTGGCATCACTGATATAAACGTCTTTCACTTCTTATTGTATAACAACTGTTGTCTTGGTTTTAGGGAAATGCAACGCTCCATCTCTATCCCCATTTCAAACCACTGCAGGAGTTTAAAGGTTTGTTGATGAATTGCACTTAAAAAAAGCTACAAGCTTATTGAAGCTGTGTCTAAAGCGTAACTTTCTCTCAATTTCAGGGCTGTCAGAATACCTCGGCACTGAGATTTGTACTTCACGACAGAAACGTTTCAGTTTGGTGACCTTTGTTGACACTCCTGGTCTGGTGGATGGGGATATGAAGTACCCCTTTGATGTGGACCAAGCTATTCTGTGGCTCGGTGTGTGTTTGTCTTGAAGTGTTTTGTATGTTCCGGAGTTGGCATTGTTGTAATGTTGATTTTTAAGTCTAAATTTACTATTATAAATGTCTGTTTATGATCCTAATAAGTGTCACTGTATTCTGATTCTGTCCGTCTACACCAGGTGAGCTCTGTGATCTGATCCTGGTCTTCTTTGACCCAATGGGACAGGCTTTATGCAAGCGCACACTCAACATTGTAGAGAAACTTAATGAGAAGCAAGGGGACCGTCTCCGTTTTTATCTCAGTAAAGCGGATGAGGCTGGAGGAGAGTCTGATCGACAAGTAAGATGCTCTTATACATGCTTATGTTCACAGTTATAAATCTTATTTTGATGTTTGATCAATAATACAGTAAAAACAGTAACATTGCGAAGTTATTACATATTATAATAATTTTTTTTTAAATTTAAAAATGTTAGAATATTAAATATCAATATCTTTAAAAAATCAGTGTATTCCTGTTAGGGTTGTGACGGTGAGGAAATTTTTCCACCAGTTAATCGACGTGTGACAACACCGGTAATACCGGTATCACCGCGGGGGCGGGGCGTTCCCTCTTTTCCTCGCTTTCCTTCGCTTTTAAATGGCTTAAAAGTGCCGTGCACATTTTACTTTCACTTTTGAATTAGCGGCAGTTCGGCTTTGATGCAACAACAAAATACGTCTTAACACCGGTATCACCGTCAGCACCGTCTATCGCGGCAAGCATAATTCCTGTGAATTTGAGCTGTATTTGCTGATTCATATTTTTGTGGAATAGATTTATTTTAATTTTTTTCAGAAATCTTTTGTAACATTTGTAACTCGCTCGGTTTTGATAAATTTATTGTGTCATTGCTTAAGCATTAATTTAAGCAGTAAAGTATTAAAGGGGTCATATGATGTTGCTAAAAAGAACATTATTTGGTGTAATGAAATGTGTTTATGCGGTTTAAGGTTCAAAAAACACATTATTTTCCACATAATGTACATTATGGTTTCTCCTCTATGCCCCGCCTTTCTGAAACAATTTTTACAAAGCTCATCGTTCTGAAAAGCGACGGAAATGTTACGCCCCTTACCATACTGTGATGCCGGTGTTCTGACAAATAATGCTACCTATCAGATTATGCTACCAACACTGTATTTATCCTACTGTAAGGGGTAGGTTTAGGGTTGGGGTAGGTGTACATGTTAATAAAGCCTCACACCTTATTAATATCATGCTGGAAGCAAAATCTGATAGGTAGCACTTTTTACTATCGAATTATGCTACCATTTGTTTTAGGGATGCAGTGATTAACCGGTTTCGCGATTAACCGCGCTTTAAAACGTCACGGTTAATTAATCGTAAAGGTACTGCTAAACCGAGTGTTTCTGTTACACGGAACAGAACTGTTGCAGCTTGTGCAAAATGGAAACGAAGTTACACTAGCGGTGCACCAGCTTAAAATGACGTGCTTATCAGAGGCACGGAGGCTAATACATGCATTAGATTAACTGTGACAGAGGAACCAAACAGCGAAGCTTTATTTCCACCAGAGAAATGCCTGTCGATAGTGTGGGACCATTTTGGGTACACCAAGAATGACCAGGGTGTCATTTAAATATTGCTGTAAAAAAACTGCTGCTAAAGAGCGAATACATA